GAGCTTTCCGAATACGGTCATATTACACACGCATACACACATACGCATTTACCGGGAATAATTGGAACAGTCCATGTGAGTGATGAGGTAAGGGATGTTAGGTGGGTGCTTCGTACTCAAAGTGTTACACGGCGTGTACCTATATACCTACCTTGATGGAAATAATGACGTAACGTACACGGTTTTTGCAGGAAGTTTAAAGGGAAGCGGTGGGAGAGTAACAAGTTGATTTTGTTTAATCTAAATTCGGTATGAAAATGTTTGCGAGGAAATTAGATTAGAAATTATGATTAATTTGTGATCAAATACTCATTTTAGGCTATCTTGCGCAATATATTTTAGTCTGATTGGAAAACTTAAACAACCTAATTTTACTATGCAAGAACAAAGAGGGAGAATATATAAGAAAAAATTGATAAACAAAAGCATAAAGAAACAGAAATGTTCGAAAATTATTTGATTTTATGTAAGACATTTTTTGTGATTCGCTTCCCAAAGCTCTGATATCGGTATTTGGTCATAAGGTGTCCTGAAGGGCACAAATTCTTTACTATTTTGTAGTATAGTCTTTCATTGATGATGCTACTTTAATTTCCCGATAAATTTCGGATCGATTTCTGTCGTCATTTGCTAAAAATTTGTTGCGCATGCGTTTGTCCATTTCTTGAGAGTTCTCCATCTTATGGTTCCCTAGACCATGAAAGAGATCACTATTTGTAGTTTTTGTGATGCGTATTTTATAAATTTGGGTGAAATACCCGGACTAAGGTGGTTTTTTGTATTACCTATTTATAATGACTGCCTCTTGGTCTCTCCATGTCCATTTTTCTATAAATTGTCAGTTGTCAAAGGCATCTCGATAAATGAAGTCAAGTTCAATAACCTGCGGTATGCAGATGATACAATAGTGTTTTTCAATACCATAGAAGGGCTGCAAATTAACAAAATAGGCAGCAAATAAAACATAACTGGAGCAAATCTGTATGTGACCAAATGAGAATGGACTTATCAGTCTGTGCCGTGAGTGTAAGCACGACAGAATGGAGACTAGCGTAAGCAGCGGCCGAAGCCACTAGAGGCTAAAACCTATGCCAAGACAAAGCTGAACCGGGAAAATTTGTATTAATCGAATCTTCACGGAGGCCAAAATCAAGGCATAGGCAAGTGAAAAAGTAAACGGGCTTAGCCGTCGGGATACTCCCTGTGCTACGATTGGAATGACTGTGAGGTGTAATATTTTAGAAATTACACCTGACTGACACGGCACCAATGTCAAGGAGGTAAGAAATTCAAAGGTACTGGGTGGTACCCAGAAGCCGTGCTGACAACGGGTCAGACGATCAAAAAATAAGCTTTTCTCCAAAGGTTAGGACTTCCACTCCCACGCGAATATGGATCGCTCGCGATACCCATCCGGTCGAAAGGCCCAATATGTTATAGTTCGAGCTATAAACTCAACTATAACATCTATGATGCCCTCCTAGAAGACCAGGATACGAATTACGAGATCCGAAGACTCCACCGAAAAAATAGAACAAAGAGACTTCGCAGTCCCAAACCAAAAAAAAAATGTACCCCTCGAAAAACGAGCCACAACAAAAAGGACGAGACTAAGGAGTAGTGAGGATGAAAAGTCCTAACTGGTACAGATGAAATCCCTGTTGAAAGAAAAGGATGCCGAAATAGCAGCACTAAAACTGACAATAGAAGAACTGCAGGATAGGATAGTAACCTCGCAAAAAACAATAATCTGCCACATTGACTCAAAGTTCCAAGAACTTAGCAATGGAAAAGAAAACGCAAAACCTAAGAAGACAACAGAAACGGCCTCAAAAGAGATCAACAAAGAAGATACCTGGGAAACCCAGGCCAAAAAGGCGTCAAAATAGGAGTCTACGGGAACAATCCCAAAGACAAAGGCAACCAAAGAAAAGTTCAAATTTCTGAGGACTGGACTATATTGGGAATATTTAGGACATAAATGTTGTATATTAGGTTAAAAACAAACTGTTGATTAATCGGAGGATTAGATGTATTATTTTATTTTAATGAAAAAAATCTGTTGGTATTCAATAACGAAGAATGTCTTTTATAAGTGGATAATTGTAAATTTCTTAAACATTTTCGAAGTTCCCAATAAAAATTAATAAAATAAAAACCAATGGTAATAAAATTAAACAAAACAGTACCGTAAAACGGGGTTACTTTGCACTGAGCAGGGTAACTTTGCACCAAACGTGTAAAAGTATATTTTCTGTAAACCTACGCACAATTTTGTTTATATATTTGTACTACCTCTAGAGCACATAGCAACGGTTAGACTATTATTTTCTAACTTTGCAAAATCATACTGTGCAGACAGTCCCAGCGGACACAAATTGGTAAGTACATGTCTAATGGCGTATAACATAATCGATTGCGATTTTTGGTTGTTAAAACAACGGTTTTAAACGAGGATACCAATAACAAAAATAAACATTGTTTACATGTGCACTTAACACGTGAAATTGGGTATACTTTACGCCGCCAAGTGTAAAAGGTTAATAGGAAAATGGTTTTTAGGAAATGCCCAGACGTTATAAAAGGAAACTGGGATCTCGCAAATATGCAGACTACTCAGAAGAAGATTTGAAAGCATGTTTGTCAGTAATAAAAGATGGCATGAGTACAAGAGTTGCCACTGAATCCTTTAACATTCCAAGGAGAACTATTTTTTACAAATTAAAAGGAGTACACGCTGGAAAACCTGGATACCCATCAATATTCTCTTATGAAGAGGAAAGGTGCTTCGTACAATGCATTCATAGCCTTAGTGATTTTGGATTACCTGTTACTGAAATTACGACAAATAATCAAGACTCATTTAAATCGCCAAGGAAAAAATATAATTCGCTTTCAGGAATAATACTCCTGGTATGGATTGGGTCAAATCATTTTCAAGTCGTCATAAGGACCTTACTGCAAGGATAGCCTCAAATATAAAAAGAAGTAGAGCAGCACTCAATGCAGACCAAATGGCTGAATACATACAAAATTTAAAACAAACAATAACTGGTGTGGAGCCACATGCTATTTTTAATTATGACGTGACGAACTTAACAGATGATCCTGGATAAAAAGGTATTAATTAAAAGTGGGGTTAAATATCCTGAACGAATTTGTAACTCTTCAAAAAGTAGCATTTCTCTTATGTGTGGAAATGCAGCTGGTAAGCTACTACCTCCTTATTTGGTATACAAATAAGCATTTGTGGGACACCTCTGGTACGCCTTATGCAAATACTGCATCTGGTTGGTTCGAATCACAGACATTTGCAAATTGGTACTATTCTATTGGCCAGGCTTAAAAAAATTCAGGAAAAGAAGGTCGTTTTAGGAGACAATTTGTCTTCTCATATTAATGTTGAAGTCCTGGAATTATGTCGAAAACACAACATTCATTTTATATGTTTGCCTTCATTTTATATGTTTACCTCCGAATAGCACCCACGTTACACAACCGCTAGATGTTGCATTATTTGCCCCAATGAAAAAGGCTTGGACGGAAATTTTATATGACTATAAGAAAACTCATGTGGAAAGTAGATCAAATGTACTTGAGAAACAGCATTTTCCAACGCTTTTACGATCATTAATCGAAAAAATACAAAAGAATAGCGATGAGATATTAAAGTCGGGATTTAGGAAATGTGGTGGGTATAGTGCCTTGTGATATAACATCGCTCTTGGAGCGAGTAAAAACAACTCAGCAATCTAGTGTGATAACTGTCATACAACAACTATTAATAATAAATCAAATTCGTCAGACACGTGGGAAGAAAAAGAAAATAAATGTTCCAACAGGACAAAGTATTGCCCAGTCTGAAATTAGTTTAGAAGATCTACCTGAAGCATCTACTTCCACACTTCACCAAGCTGTTGAGCCAGAAGTCGTAGATGATTCAGAGAACGATATTGCTTTGGACGACCACTTTCCACTAGGCAGGGATTCATCAGACAATGAAATAAATGAGCTGCAAGAGATGAAGAAGAAAGCGAATTTAATGAAAAACTCGCCTCAGGTTCTCTTGGCACAAATATTGCCGAAAAAGTTAAAAACGCTGCATTAGATCATGTTAAAATATATTGGTGAGTACGTTTTATTTGTCTGTGAAGATCATGTTTACCCTGGAGTCATAACAGCAATAGAAAATGACGGAGCGATCATCAACGCCATGTCAAAATTCGTTAAAGTTTTGAAAATGGTCAGAAAGATGTGATGGTATTCGTGGGACAATGTAATTGGCGCCATAAATCTTCCCAAGAAAATTTCCAGGCGAGGATTTTACATTGTTCCAAAATGCGACAAATTGTGGTGGAATTAGATTCAAACTTTGTATTTTCACTATTGTACTTATAATAAAGTTTGTTCATTTAAAATGTAGCAATGTTCTTTCCAGTTAAGCTTCTTTCATAAATGTAGGTAGGTTTATATTAAAAAAACTGGGCCGACCAACATTTTTTTGCCTTTAAATGGTGCTAAAATCAGATAGGATTACTATGCACAAGCAAGCATTTCGTAGCCAAATATTATTAAAATATCAAGTGGTGCAAAGTATGACTCTTCTAGGGCATACTTTGCACCACTAATAAAATTAGGATAATCTCTTAATTATACAATATAACTAAAAAACAGCTATAATAAGAGGTATATTACGACCTGTTGAATAGATATTTAAAATAAAAAGTTCAGATCTTCTTTCGGGTAATGTTATATCCACTCTAAGAAAATGAAACTAAAAACTATGGTGCAAAGTGACCCCGTTTTATGGTAACAAAAATAACAGTAGAAAAGTTAAGAGAATAGTTTACGTTACATATTTAGTAACGTATTACAAAGACAAATTATTTTTTCATTTCTATCAATACCAAACAATCATATATAAATGTTTATTGATGTTTAAATGTTATTTAATTTGCATGAATGTATACAATGACGTACATATTCTCTTGACGATTCAACTATCCAAATTTATAAAACTTTTCACTGACCTTTTTCTCCGTCAATTTTTCACACCGTCTTTGTTTGCATATCTGATGGCTTTTGTCGTTCCTACAAGGGGCACAATCACCACAATTATCTTTTCTTTGGCATCCGATACATTCACCGCACCGTTTTCGCTTCTTCTTCACCTGCTTATCAACGCTTCCACCACTAATGTCCGTATCCATGTCCACCGAACTGTTAACGTGCATTTGGTGGGTTTTAAAACCGGCCGTACTGGAAATGGCGGCTACCTGTCCCGAGTTTTCCGACCCCATGTCCATATTACTGGAAGCTCCGTCACTGTCCACCGAACTTTCGAGACTAGATGCCCGAATTTTCCTTCGTTCTTTTTTACGGAAATCGTTTCTAGTGGGCGAAGTCATGTTCCCGTTAATTTTTTTCTCGACGCCGTTGTAAATATTGCCGTCGGTATTGTGGATTTGGGCCATGGGATTTTGGAATTGTGTAGGGTGGAGGCCAACGTTTTGGAGTTTTAAGGAATCTTGGTGTAAGGTCGTTAGCTTTAAGTCTGGCTCAGACTTTAATACTGTCACTACAGTCGGAGATGAGATCAACTGGTTATTTTGAATAATGGCACCGTTTTGACTATTTAAAAATGTTGGGTGTATCGTATTGTTTATGGCTATATTAGTAGGAGGATGAGAGTATAACTGTATGTGTCTCTCGTCAAGAAACTGTTGTTGAATAGAAGGTATTTCCCTTGCTTGAATAGGAGCAGGTACTAAGGGATAGTTTCTTGGGTTAACATTAACAGCACTTAGGGTGTGGAAATTAGAGTTTAACGTCGTTAAACTGTGACTTTGTGGACTAGAAGAGTTTGGCGAAACCGGCGTTAGATTGGTAAGTGTGGTTAAGGTCGGTTCTGTGGTGGTAACGGAATCACTGAAGCTTTGGAATTGGGACTGGAATGAGGGTAACTTAGAGGCGCCATTCTGTTGAGAAAAGGCGTCAGCTAACGTGTTAACCGGTGTGGTGGCCGAAAACGTAGATGTGGAAGCATCAACCGGTTTCGATTCCCACGGACGGTATTGAGGTTGCGAGGTGATGATCGACAAAGCATTATCACCACGGTCTAAAAGTCTTGTTTCCGTATAATAGTCCCAATTTGATATGTCTAACAGACGAGTATCACTAAACAATCGATCAGACATCGAACTAAACGCTCCGCCTGAGTCCATGTCCGCCGAGAACGTAGAAAATGGAGGTAGATTCGCGCCCGGAGGACCTTCTTGCACAGTGGAACTCGGTGTTGCAGGAGTGGGTGGATACGATGGAGCTAGGGTCGTGTAAGCAGCCCCTAGCCCATCCGGATCCTGACTTAAGGTCTCACTCATTATAAGTACTGTGCATTGTTAGCTTAGAATCATTTTGGTTTTGGTTTTTTATACTGCGCTACGAAAGAATCTATAGAAAAATCGAAGTCCTTATTGTCATTATGGTATCCTGATTTTCGCTGAGATTGGGTGTAGATATATTTGTACTATTTTGTTTTTGTACTGTTATGTTACGTATAAAAATAGCTCTTACTATCTTATTCTTCTTATTGTTACAAAAATAATATCTGAAAAAGAAAACTCACATTAATATACCTATATAGTTAATATAATCAATAATTTAATATAATGAATAATAAAATGTATTAATGAGAAAACAATTTCAAGTAAATATCAATTGATCTATTAAATTTTTTGAAGTTAATGCATCTAAAAAATAAATTTTATAAGAGTAAATAACAATGTATGGATCTCACAACAGTAAAACAGACCATTCTAATTTATTGCTTCTCGACAGAATTCTAAGAAAACGAATCAGAAAATTCCCAAACATAAGTATACACATTAACGAATTTAATGTTTTCTTTAAGAGATTTTTTAGCAAAAACAAAAGGACTCGAAGCATATGGTAACAAACGAGAAATCCACTAAATAAAACGTACCTTAACAGGATAAGTCATATACTAAATAGAACACTACGTGAAGAAAAAAACGACTCATTCCAGTTTTAAATATCGAACCCCTCACATGAATACCACTCTATATTTATGGAAACCCAGAAAAAAAATTTAAACGACCAACAATACAAATTTATCTTCAAGAAAAACAGAAATGACCTGGACCCACATAAGCACAAAAATCCATAGTATTGGCAGAGCAGCTTGCAACACTGTATTCTCAGCACCCGATACTAATAACGATGAAGATGATAATATAAAAATGTTCCTCGAGATTCCATGTCAACTATAGCGTCCTCTCACATTTACTTCGACAGGTTCGACAGCAAATAAAAATACTAAATCCTAATAAAGCTCCTGGCTATTATTAAATAACAGGAGAATTACTTTGGAATCCATCCAGCATACTACGTTTTCGCTAGTTTCCAATATATTGGAAATTTGCTCAAGTTACTGTGTTTCCGAAACCTGGTAAACACGTAACACAAGAAAATTCAAATCGCCCTATAAGTCTACTACCAATAATATCGAAAGTATTAGAAAAGTTGTTTTCATAAACGAAATTCTAAAGAACCACTCATAATCATGAGCGATTTTAACGCTAAAATTATTATTTTACCTACCTATAGTTTCTAATAATGACCTATAGATTATGAAAAGCCTTTCGACAGCATTGAACACTGGGAGGTTGAAGAAGCTCTGGTCAATAGTAGAATAGATTTAAGATACCGACAATTCAAACGCAATCATGACCGTTATTCTGGACGGCAAAGTAATAACGGATAATATAAAAGTTAAACGAGGATTCCGACAATGCGATATAATTTCACCTAAAATGTTTACCTTGACCCTCGAAGATATAATAAAATCAACCGATTGGGAAAACAGAGGAATATGTATTAACGGAAAATACCTAAATCACCTTAGATATGCGGATGATATATATACTCCTGATCTCCTCGGAACGACAAGAACTGGAATTAATGCTGAATGAACTTTATGAAAAATCACTGCAAAAAGGCATAAAAATTAACTTCAACAAAACAAAAGTAATGACAAACACGAAAGACAAGAGGCAATAAAAATACAAACAGAAAAAATAGAACAGGTAATCTATCTAGAACAAGCAATCAGAGCTAACAGAGAAAATCAAACAGCCGAAATATCGAGACGAGTAAGAATGGGATGGGCAGCGTTCGGCAAACTTTCTTACTTTCTCAACAATCAAACAATCCCTCTATACTTACGAAGCAAGGTATATAACTCCTGTATAATACCGGTGCTCACCTACGGATCACAGACATGGACATTTACACAGGCCAATTTGGATAGGATAAGGAAGGCACAAAGAGCGATGGAGAGACAAATGTTGGGTATATCACTTAAAGATAGAAAACGTAACTAGTGGATCAGAACCAGAACAAAGAGAGTAGACGCGATAGAACAAGCAGCAAAACTGAAATGGAAATGGGCTGAACACAATGAACGTCTCCAAGACGGACGATGGAACAATGCCATCGGAAAGTGGCGTCCGTACAATGCAAAGAGATCAAGAGGCAGACCACAGATGAGGTGGAAAGATGACATCAGGAAACAAGGAGGTCCCACATGGCAGAGAACAGCTCAAGATAGGGAAAAATTGAGAGAACTGGAAAAGACCTATATCCAACAATGGAAGGATAGAGAATAGGTTAAAAAAATAGTTTCTAATAGTATAATAACAAAACTATAGGTTAGGTATTAGAAACAGCGAAGGCGAATGTTTAATAGATTTTGTAACCGAAAACAGTTTGACCTTTGTAAACACAATGTTCAAACATCATACCCGTCGTTTATCGACGTGAACCAGCCCAAAAGGAGAATAGACCAAATCGACTACATATTGATTAGAAACAGATGGAAGACCTGTTTTACAAACGTAAAAACTAGACCAAGCGCTGAATGTGGATCCGATTATAAATTGTTATAGGCTTGCTTCAAGATTAAGCTAAAATAAAAAGAGCAATATTCTTCTTTAAGTGCCTACTCAATGGTGGAGGTCGGCAACCATCATAGTTATTCGGACTTTTGAGACGGCTGCTCTGAAAAGTTAATTTAATGTACATCCATACCACTCTCTCAGTCTGCGCAGCCATGGCATTCTACGCCTCCCTATCCTTCTCTTATCTTGAATCTTTCCCTGCATAATCAGTTGGAGTAAGGTGTAATATGTCCGAGATATGTCCGAAAAAGAAAAATGCCGCACCAAAATCAAAACATTTAGAGATGTATTAAAGGAAACTAGTTATGTTAAACACTCAAGACAACCCAGAAGAAATATGGAAAGGTTTCAGAAATGCCGTAGAAACCTCTGTAGAAAGATCCAGAACCAAAAAAAGATCAAGAGAAAACACTGGATGACACACAGAACGCTGCAACTTCTCGAAGAACGAAGGAGAATCAAATCTCTTATATATCAAAACGACAGCAACAAAAACGAATTAGCAAGGTTAAATAGAGAAATTAAAAGAGAATGTACGGATGATAAAAATAAACACATAAATGAAGAATGTGAAGAACTAGAGAGACATGCAAACCGGTATGAATCCCATGAGCTATATAACAAAGTCCGATATCTAAGTCAGAGGTAGAAAAATCAATCAAAAAGTTAAAAAATAGAAAATCTCCTGACGCAGACCGGATCACCGTAGAAGTTTTAAAAGAGACTGGAGATGTTGGAGTAAATAATATGCATATGATCTGCAAAAAAAATTGGGGAACCGGAGAGTGGCCCAATGATTGGATATTCAAAAAAGGAACTCCGCTAGATTGCAGCAACTACAGAACGGTAACCCTAATATCCCATGCAAGCAAGGTTCGACTTTTTGTAATAAATGAAAGACTAAAAGCTTTTCTATTGCCTCAGATATCAGAAGAACAAGCGGGATTTGTCCCAGGAAGAGGCACAAGAGAACACATCCTTAATGTCAGACAGCTAATCGAAAAAACTCGTGAAATCAATACTCCTATGCTTATGTGCTTTGTGAATTACACAAAGAATGACTGAACTATTTTATAAGTAAAGTCGTCCCAGGAGCGCAACTCAACAATATTGGCAATATCATTTTAAAGTCGTCTACTTTAAAATGCATAATATATGTCTGAATTGTCAATATAAATGAGCCAGACAAAATTAAATTATTAGAAGAATTTTTCACTATGTAACAAAAAACAAAATTTGTTTAATTGACTGTTTGTATTTTGAGAACGATTTCCGAAGCGGAAATTGAAAAGTCAATAAACGTATTTTTATCTTTAATTGTGGCTTATTCCCAGTTAAATAGTAATTAATATAGATACCTTGTTGGAGCAATTATAAACTTAGAATTAGAATAAGATGAGGAAATAAAGGTCAGAATTAAAATGGCTCGAAAGAGATTTATAAAATACAAGTCAATTTTTACAAATAAGAAATGAGTATGGCTCTCAGATTGAGATTCGTCTAATGTGATGTATGGTCGCAACTGCTATATAGGGTAGAAGAAGTGTTGGAACGAATTGAATATGGCAGAAAACTTATGAACACGATTAAATTCTCTTCTACACGTTATCATGCAAGGAAGGGTAGAGGGAAGAAAGAAGAAATCTTGGTTGAGTAATATCAGAGATTGGACTAACCTCTGTGTTGAACAGATATTTCGCATTGCAAAAGATAGAGAAGCGTTTAAAGAAATGATCTCCAATCTTCGTTAGAAGACGGTACGATAAGAAAAAGAAGCAACTGGATACAACTGGATGGAAGAGGAAGTAACAGCGCTCCAGATCGAAATATGTGAAAGAAGTTGTAGGAGGTCTATGTTGGTTGACTAATTAATGGTAAGGAGAGGCAATAACACAAACAAATGCATAACAGATAAATACAGAAATGGACCGCAGGAGTGTGACATCACAACTGTCACATTGTCATTATTACTTTCCAAACAAAAGTTAAAATGTCCAATCTCAAGACTTTTTAATTTCTACAAAGTTAACATTTTGCTTCCTCTGCTGCTGTTTCTTGTAAGCATAGTGTTTTTTACGATAATAATATCATAATTCAGAGTTCTATTTTTATGAAATATAGTTTAAAAGTTTAAATTAAAGAAATTCTAACCTTACTTTATTGATACATGCATTTTATTGCTATTAGCATAAAACAATGTGCTTTATTATTTACACAACCTTGTAAAATTGTTATAGTAACTATTAGAATACTTAAATATTCCAAAAGGCGGATAGACTCTATAAAATAAATGAAAATATAACTAAAAATACAAATTATCCACACTAAACAAGGTTTGTTTGGAAAGTGAAACTGACAGATGTCAATAAAATCTACGTCATCACTCCTGTGGTCCATTGGAGAGAGAAAATGCAGTTTCGGAAATATTAAGTTTTTTAAAAACCGTAAACAGAAATTTTTTAATGCAAAAAATCTCTAAATCATCCAAGAAAAATCTGGAAAATGAAAATTACATGTGAAAAAAAAATATAATTTGCCTCATTTATAATTGCGAATACTGACAGAAAATCATATTTTTTGTTCGCAAACGTTTCCGTATCTATTTTTGTTTACGCCTCAACTGACCCTCCGCGTCTGTGAATGAAACTTTTCCGATATCATTCCCGTCTTGAGTACACGTCCACGACATTCGTTGAGACCAGCAGAAAAATAAGGAAAACTGCCCAATCGTTTTTCATTGTTTACATACAAAGATCATGTCTACTCTACGGAGAGCATCGGTTGGGTCGTGACGCAGCGAAAAGCGCATGCACACGTCACGGAAAAGTGTTCCGAAGGATCAAAAGGGAGAGACCCAGTACGCAGACGTGTACAGTGCGTAAGGCAACGCATTTCCTTGTTGCCGGTCAGGTCACGGTCGAATCAGACGTTGCCATATTTGACTAGCATCCCTTAGACAATCGTTACCTATTCGCCCTTTTACCTAAACATGATACACGCATAAAAAGCTGTATATTTACTTAGAAAACTAGCAAGAAAAATGGTTTTTAACCTTTATCTATTTAAATACAGGAAGAATAAAAGACGCTAGAACCGGAATTTACCACAAATGAAGAACATAATATAAATGTACAGGAAGTTCAGAAAATACTTAAAAACCTTAAGAACAGAAAATCAGCAGGTAAAGACGGAAAACCAAACGAATTACTGAAATATTGTAGAGCAGCAATGACAGAACAATTAACAACATTAATTAATAAAATTATAAAACACAATAAAATACCGGAAGAATGGAGAACGAGCGAATTAATTCTACTATTCAAAAAAGATGGAAAAGGAAATAATGCCGTCGGAGTGGTATGAGGCCCGCATGTGCCCTCTGCATAAAAAAGAAGACAAACTGAAGTGTGACTATAGTGGTACAGCCTTATTAGACACGGTATACAAAATCTTTTCTAGAATATTGAGAAATAAACTAAATTGCTACACGGAAAGAATCCTGCATGAGTATCAGGAGAAGAATAAGATTGGCCTGGGCATCATTCGGAAAACTGTCTTATATTCTAAAGAATTCAAAATACCCCCAATACTTAAAAACGAGAGTCCTCAATCAATGTATACTCCCTGTCCTCACATATGGCTCTCAGACATGGACGTTTACAAAGGAAAATATGGAAAAAAAAACAAAGACAGAAAGATCCATGGAAAGACAAATGCTGAACATTAAACTATCAGACAAAAAAAGAAACGAATGGATCCGGAATAAAACAAAAGTGAAAGATGTCTCAACCCAAGTAGCAAAGCTTAAATGGAAGTTCGCCGGACACACCCTAAGGCAGAAAGATGAAAGATGGACTAAAACAATTATACATTGGAGACCATGGAATTACAAACGTAAAAGGGGAAGGCCACAAATGCGATGGCCTGATGACCTGAAGAAACACGCTGGGTCAAAATGGATGCAAATTGCCCAAGATAGAGAGGCATGGAAGAAGGAGGAGCAGGCCTATATCCAAAGATGGATGTTAAGGGCTGTATAGATAGATAGAAGAGTGAAATTGCTTGGCAGGGTCACATATCAGATCAATTTACGGTTGCAAAAGGCTTGAGACAGGGAGATCCTTTATCCACTACATTATTCAACTTAGTGTTAGAAACTGTAATCAGAAAATGCAACATGAAGGTGGAAGAAACAATCATGAAAAATGAGCACCAGTGCTTTGCAGCAGGGAAAAATGAAGACTTTAGTGTAAGGTCAGTAAGTGGTAAAAGCTATAGTTTTAAAAGGGTGGACAAATTTGAATACTTGGGTGTAGTTTTCGATGAAAATGGGAAAGAGAAAGAGCTCGAAGCCAGAATAGCAGAAGGGAATAAAAAATTTGGTAGTTTAAGAGCCCTACTGAACTCAAAATTCGTTTCTAGACAAGGTAAACTCAGAATATACAAAACAGTAATTCGACCCACAGTAACATATGCCGGTGAGACATGGACATTAAATAAGAAGGAAGAGGATACTCTGGAAACACGGGAAAGGAAAATATTGAGACGCATATTCGGAGGACGGAAGAGAGAAGATAGTTGGGAGAGAAGAACAACAATGAATTAATGGCTTTATACAAAGAACCTACCATTACCAAGTCACAAAGAATTAAATGGTTGGGACATGTGGAAAGAATGGCAGCAAACAGAATGCCCAAACTAGTAATAACCACAAAACTAATCGGCCCCAAAAGAAGAGGTAGACCCAGAACGAGGTGGATTAGTAAAGTGGAGGAAGAACTTAAATATGTGAAATAATTGTAATTAGTTAATATTAGGATTATGTTTAAAAAAAATGCCCTAGGCCTTGACGGCCTGTTGTGCATAAAAATAAATAGATAAATATATATCTTTTCTGATAAAATAAAATTAAGCTTGTTGGTATGATTTTTAGAGGTTCAGTGTTATTTTCGCCTCTTGCGACTGGAATACTTTTAAAAACTTTTGTTTCAAAAACAGATACAGGGCAAAAGTTAAGGTGCCATATTAAAATATGAATAAAAACTATATAAGTAAACTGTCAAAAAAGTTACAAAACAATTACGACTACCTTTAGATCAAGAAGAAAGAATTTAATAGACTATTTAAAAACGGAGTTAAAAGATACAGGAGTACGGTATAAACCTTATCAGAAATCTTCTTTATTAGAAAAAATATACAAAATATTAGTGGGCAGAAAAGAAGGAAGGATCTTCTTTTTTCGCGAATTCTTCTGTCTTTGTACGTGGGATATTTTATTTTATTGTTTGTTGCTTATCTATTTCTTCTAGTTTTTCTGACTTATTATTATTATTATTATTATATATTTATTTTTTTGCAACTAACGAAGTTTATGTCCGTTATCTTACTTCGTATTTCTTCTATATCTACATTTATTTGTCCAAATTTTATATTCATAAATTATTATTATTATTCATAATCAGATGTTTCTGCTATCTTTTATTTGATTTTGATTGATTTATTTTTATTATTTATTATAATCACCTTCCTCTTCTCTTCGTTTACTTCTAAATTCATATTTTTTATCTCTTCCGTTTAGTTTTCAGTTTTTCGTAATTCTCTGATAAAAGAACTATGTCGTCTGGGTACATTAATGCGCCTGTTTGTATTGGTTCCATTCTATTCTACTTTTTGCATTTAAAAAGTTCCAGATCTTTTCCACTAGAAGAAATTTGAATTTCTTTAATCACTCCATATAACAATTAATGTATAATAAAAGTCTAACAATAATACTCGAACGGTTTAAAGTCGATAAAGGACTTCGACAAGGATATTGCCTGTCACCAATCTTATTCAACATTTATGAAACAACAAAAAATTGGAACAGGAAATGTTAATAGATGGGAGTAAAAATTGACGACAACTATATCTATAGCCTTTTGTTTGCAGATGATCAAAAAATATTAGAAAAAGATCATCAAAGAAAAGATCAAGAGGTAGACATCGCCTTAATGATTAACGGATATAATAAATAAAATAAAGAAAAGAAAGACAATAACGCATTATAATCTTTAAGACAATGGCGGAAAGCTGCTTACTGTTTAGCTCATAAACGTGGATGGCAAATAAAAGAATGGAAACAGAATAAATCCAGTGGGAATGATGTTTTGGAGAAGACGCTGTAGATTAACAGTTATGATCAACATAGACAGATGTGCAGAAATTGAGGAATTATAAGAAAAACATGACCACTTCAACATACATAAACTCGTTAAAGAAGTGACAGGTCATACAAAACCTTGCAGTTTTAACAGTATTGTAAAGGACAATAAATTAATTACTGATCCCAAGGATCTACTTCAACATTGGACAAACTACTTACAGCAACTATACTCAGATAAGACTAAAAGAAACTCTGAAAGTGAATATAAAAGTGAAACACCCCCCCCCCCCCCAAAATATCGAAGTCAGAAGTTGTAAGGACAATCAAACAGAGCAAATTGTGACAGCCTTGGTAGATCTTTTTAATGAGATTTATGGGTCCGGTCAAATACCACAGGTTTGGCTTCAATCAACCTTTATACCAATTCCAAAGAAGCCAACGCTAATAGTTGCGACCAATTCCGAATGATCAGCTTATTGAGCCAGGTCCTAAAACTCTTCTTTAAGATAATTCACATAAGAATATACAACAGATGTGAAAGAGACATTAGCCCCACACAGTTCGGTTTCCATATAACCAAAAAGATGTCTTCATATGCTTTATAGATTACCAGAAAGGGTTTAATTATGTTAAACATTCAGAATTAGTAAGATTGCTCCAGGAACGTTCGATAGATGAGAATGACCTTAAAATCATGAAGAACCTTCATATGAATCAAGTAGCATCTGTAAGAGTAGGGCTGGAATCTAAATCATATTTCTCAATCGAAAAAGGTGTACAACAGGGTTGTGTTTTGTCACCCCTCTTTACGCTAAAACGATTTTCGATAGAAATGACATTAGTAATCTTTGCTATACTGATGATACAGTCATAATAGCTGATAGACAAGAAGCGCTACAACGACTAATAGATAGAATAAACAGTGAAGGAGAAGGACTGGGCTTGAAGATTATTATAGACAAGACGAAGGTAATGGTGGTTAGTAGAACACGAAATATGCAATTAAATATAAGAGTAAACAACAAGAACATCCAAAAGATCCCCAAGTTCAGATATCTCGGTAGTTGGATAACTGAAGATCCAGACATAGAGATACCTAGCAGGATTGAGCAAGCCAGAACAGCATTTAACAACAGCAGCCTTAACATATCGCTTTGTAAAATGTTACATTTACTCCATACTGCTATATGGTATAGAAAAATGGACCATAAAGGCCAAGGTGGGTATTTAAAGGACTACTTAAAATTCCCTGGACAGATCACACAACAAATGTCGAATTATTAAATAGAATGAGCAGAGAACGAGAATTGCTGCCAATAATAAAAAGAAGAAAAACTGCTTATCTGGATCATATGTTTCAAAATTCCAAGTACCAGTTGTTAAGGCTTATTAAAGAAGGAAGATAGTAGAAAAACGGGGCATCGGAAGGAAGAAATACTCATGGCTTAAAAACATAAGATATTGGATAAACCTCGATGCCCATGCACTCTTTAGAGCTACACAAGATCGAGAGGAGTATGCCAGAATTGTCGCCAACATCCCCTAATTGGATAGGAAACCATAAGAGGAAAAAGATCAACGTGAGAAATGAATGACATAGAGAACTAATTAATATGAAGGAGACAATAAATGATGAAATAGAAAAATCAAAACTCTGGTATGAACATTATGCGGATTATGGATGAGACAGAAATACCGCTAAGAAAAAATGGCAACCAAATAGAAGGAGGACAAGAGGACATCCTAGATTACAGTGGAACGGACCAATAAAATAGCAATGGGAAAAAAGAGTTCCCTGAAGAAAATATATTAGAAAGATCTGGTACAAGAGAAACAATATGCCATAAGCATATATGAGTTGTTTGTAATTTCTTGTGAAACTTTTGCTACTTCAAATCTATGAAATTTATATAGGTACCTACAGCTTTTTTCCTGTTTCTAGTTTTCTTTCTATAATGCTATTAATTATGTGTATATTGTTATTTCCTTGTTATTTTCTTAATTCTATTGTCTATCATCTGCCCAAATCTTTGTCCCACTATTTTTGTGTAAACTTTCAACATTCAAAATATTTTACTGAAAAATTCAAAAAGCTCCTGGATGTATTCTAAACGAAAGTGACAATTTGGCAACGATGCAGCGAACTTACTTTCTCTTTCTAGTCCTCACTTCTCGCGCAAAATTTTCAGCAGTGACTGTACATTGAGCGTCGTTACTTCGGTGTGATTCACTATCAAGAAAATCGATAATTAAAAAACATTTGTAAGGATAGATAGTCCCTAAGAACTTCCCATCTCTGTCCTCATGGGATAGCTCTAAAAAGATCGCCTGATAATGAACATTTTGAGAATATCTAAATAAATGTTGTCATCTTATTTATGCAAAAAGACAAATAGTGGTTTGTTTATAATATTTGAATATTATTTTGATTAAAAAAATATCTTTGTGTAAAATTGATAACTGTGAAAATCACGGTAATAAAAGCAAATAAGATTGTAAGAGATAAACATTTGTAATTAACACGTCACTTTTTTTGTATATTTTAATAAAAGTTCATTGATCTAAAACACAATAGAATTAATTGATTTCTTCTTTGTATTTATAATACACATATTTTATAGAACAAGACTCAAAAAAACAGTACCAACAATTCAAAACAACAATAACTGTATATCTATTCTAGGACTAGGTGGTATTATACTAAAGAACAAGATGTTACAAACTAAATACTTCATAAAACAAAGAGATATAACTTATAATTGTAGCTTATTTCCAAACTTTGATCCCTACTAAAGTTTTTTATATACCAAAAACTTGAAACGACTAAAAAATGATGAAATAAGGAAAATTAATTCTTCTTCAATAAAATCTTCTCAATATTGTGCTTTGAAGATTCAGAATACATATTTAATGTAGTTATAAAAGAAGTAAACAAATATCATGGTAGTTGAGATCACTCAATAAAATTGGAGAGACAAATTAGTAAGAGATAGGTTGTTAAGTCAATGAAAAAATTTTGATTTACCATCCATAAGACTCTAAAAGAATGAGATCTAAGACAAAGAATTTACTGGAATGAGAAATGCGTTGAACATTTGGAAATAAATGCATCAAAGAGAAATGAAAACAAGGAATGAAAGACGATGGTGAAGTGATAAAAAAACGGAATACTGAATAGGAATCTTCTTCGTTTAATGAAAGAAAAGCCGCATTAGTATGTTACAGTACTGAACTACAAAGCAACAGAAAATAAGTATAAGGCCACAAATAGTGGTCGACCACCATGAAAGATAATATATAAAGTAAAAGAGGAAGAAATTACTAGTAAAAAAGGACACCGGCAAAAGGAAATGTAGAAAACAAGAGAAAACTTTTAGATTTTCATCTTAAGAATTCCAGAAACAGTAGCTACAATAAAGAAGAACTAAAAGAGTTAGCAAACAATGCTAAACTAGAAAATTTTGTGCAAGAATAGAAGAATACATTTGTGCAAAAACCAAAATATATTACGAAGCTAGTTGATGTAAAAAGTTTTTCTGAAGATGTAAATATGGTTCTATGTATTTATTTACAGTATAATTAGAGTTTAAATGATTTGATAGATCCTGAAGATATGTAGCTGAAGCCATTGAAAAGGTAAGTGAAAAATGCCACAA